GAAGGAAGGAAGGAAGGAAGGAAGGAAGGAAGGAAGGAAGGAAGGAAGGAAGGAAGGAAGGAAATATGGAAGAGGAATTTATTTACTATTCATTAAGTAGAGAATCATCATAAAGGTCTTCATCCTCACCATCTTCATGTTGAGTAGGCTAAGGAGGAGGAAGAGGAGGGGTCTTGCTGTCTCAGGGGTGGTAGAGGTGGAAGAGGTGGAAGGGGAGAGAGGAGAGGCAGGCACAGTCCATGTAATTTTTATTGAAACAAATTCATGCATAAGTTGACCCGCACAGGTCAAACCCATGTTGTTCAAGGGTTAACTGTACTCCATATGACACTCTAATGGCGGACACATGTCATTATACATTTGTCCAAACCCATAGAATATACACCACCAAGAGCAAACCCTAATGGAAACTATGAACTTTGGGTGATAATGATGTGTCAGTGAAGGTTCATCGATTATAACAGGTATACCATTCTGGTGCTGGACAGTGATAATAGGAGAGTCTGTGCATGTGTCAAGGCAGGGGGTAGAACTCTCTGTAACTTCTGCTCAATTTTGCCATGAGCCTAAAGCTGCTCTAGGCCAGGCATGGTGGCTCACGCCTGTAATCCCAGGACTTTGGGAGGCTAAGGCAGGAGGATCCCTTGAGTCCAAGAGATTGAGACCAGCCTGGCCAACACAGCGAGACACTCATCTCTATAAAAAATTAAAAATAGAGGCCGATGCAGGTGGATCACCTGAGGTCAGGAGTTCAAGACCAACCTGGCCAACATGGTGAAACTCCATCTCTACTAAAAATACAAAAATCAGCTGGGCATGGTGACAGGCGCCAATCCCAGCTACTCGGGAGGCTGAGGCAGGAGAATAGCTTGAACCTGGGAGGCAGAGGCTGCAGTGAGCCGAGATAAAGCCACTACACTCCAGCCTAGGCAACAGAGCGAGAGTCTGTTTGAAAAAAGAAAAAAGGGCCTGTAATCTCAGCACTTTGGGAGGCCAAGACGGGTGGATCACCTGAGGTCGGCAATTTGAGACCAGCCTGACCAACATGCTGAAACTCTGTCTCCACTAAAAATTCAAAATTAACTGGAAGTGGTGGGCGGGCACCTGTAATCCCAGCTCTTTGGGAGGTTGAGGCACGAGAATCACTTGAACCTGGGAGGCAGGGTGGCAGTGAGCCAAGATCAAACCACTACACTCCAGCCTGGGTGACAGCGGGAGACCCTGTCCCAAAAAATAATAATAATAAAATTAAAAATAAAGCTGGGTGCAGTGGTTCATGCCCAAAATCCTAGCACTTTGGGAGGCCAAAGCAGGAGGATTGCTTGAGGCCAGAGTCTAAGACCAACCTGGCCAGCATAGCAAGACCCATCTTTAAAAATAATAATAATAATAAAACTGTTCTTTAAAAAAGTCTTAAAATTATTTATCAGCCGGGCACAGTGGCTCACGCTTGTCATCCCAGCACTTTGCAAGGCCAAGGTGGGTGGATCACCTGAACCCAGGAGTTCAAGACCAGCCTGGCCAACATGGCGAAACCCCGTCTCTACTAATATTACAAAAATTAGTCAGGCATGGTGGCGCATGCCTGTAATCCCAGCTACTTGGTAGGCTGAGGCAGGAAGGCAGGAGAATTGCTTGAATCTGGGAGGTGGAGATTGTAATGAGATGAGATCGTGCTGTTGCACTCCAGCCCAGGCGACAGAGCGAGACTCCATCTAATATATATATATATATGTGACTTAGATTTTCAGTCTTAAATTTTGCAGCAAAGAGGATGCCTCACCCTAGTCCCTGCCTCAGCCCGCAACCTTCACATGGTTCTACCAAGCAGAGTTCCTATCCCCAAATCTTGGGAAACGAGCTTGGAGGAGGACATTGTCTCGACTCCCCTGGGAAGTGTCCCCCATTCACTCTATCCCTTAGCACCCTACATCCTGAGCCTCCACTATGTGCCCAGCTTTTTGCTGGGAGGTCCCCCGAAAGAGGACATCTGAGGAGGCCCCAGGGGGGGCCCCCAGGGGAATCCCAGGCCTGGCTCAGGCTGGACATTCCCAGGCCCGCCCTGGCTGAGTCCCTAGCCCAGTGGGTCTCCTGGAAACTCCTTGGGGTGGTTTTGAAGTGAGAGCCCCACAGGGAAGCAATTTACATACACAACAGCCTGGTCTCGTCATCCTGCCTCACCTGATGCCAGAATAAAGGGGAGATGGGCCCATTCTGCACGTCTCAGTCACGGGCACCCGGAGAAGAGGAAGGACAATTTACTCTCAGTCCAGGTGAGTCCAGAAGTCAGCTCCTGGGACAATGCCAGGGTTCTGAACACTCAAGCTCAACCCCTGCTCTCAGCTACTGCTGGTGGCTTGGAATTAGGGGCTGGAACTGGAGGAGAGGTGATAGCTCCTGGTCCCCGTGGGCTCGGAGCAGGCCTTGGCAAACATTGTCCTCGGCCCCTGCACCCATGCTCTGCCTGAGCCTGAAGTGTTGGTTGCAAAAAAAAAAAAGCAGGAGGCAGTGCCAACTTCAGGCCTCAGCAAACACCGTCCTCAGCCCCCGCACCCATGCTGTGCCTGAGCCTGAAGTGTTGGTTGCAAAAAAAAAAAAAAAAAAAAAAGCAGAAGGCAGTGCCAACTTCAGGCCTCTGCTTCTCTTTTCTCCCTCAACACAGCTGGTCTTACCAGTAGAGCAGGCGGCAGCTGAGAGTCCCCTCTGGTGGCCAGCAGTGGCTACAGAGCTGTCACCATGGGGAGGGGACAGGGCTTGCTGGGCTGGCCTCGGTCTACCTCTCTGGAGAATAGGCAGAGTTTATAGAGCCTGAACCACCTGGTCTTCAGGCCCCACTGGGGATGGGCCTGGCTTCCTGACCACTGACCTCAGCCTAGGAGGGACAGAAGAGACTGGGGGAGACCGTGAGGCCCAGATGACCTTGACCCAGGGTACGCTGCCCCATGTCCCTGCTGCCTCCCGCCCACAGCTCTACGAGAGGCAGGTCTGTCATTCACCACTGGACTTTGACAGTGGCCAAAGGCTCTGCTCAGTTCTCTGTGCCTGTCTCCGTCCAGCACTGCCGAGGTTCTCTGCCGAGGCCAACCAGGAATATCCCTTGGAAGCTGGAACCCAGCAACAATGGCCCAGGGTGTCCTCTGGATCCTGCTCGGATTGCTACTGTGGTCAGACCCAGGGACAGGTGAGTCAGGGGGTAGAGTTCTGGGACCAAACCTCTTGGCTCCGCAGAAGGTGTACTGCTGTCCCATCTGTGTCTTGCCCTGCATGAAGTGAGGCTGGAGACTCAAGCTCTCAAAGAACCTCCAGCATGTGGACATAGATATTCCCAGCTCCACAGAGTCAGGGCAAGGATAGGGGGAGGAATCTGTGGCCTGGGGAGCAAAAGTAGGGAAGGCTTCCTGGAGGAGGAGACGTAAGAGCTAGTCTAGGAAGAAAGAGAAATGATTTGGTGGAGAAGCCAGAAAGGGTAATTTTTTTTTTTTTTTGCAGAGAAGAACAAAGCTACACAGGAATTAGGTGGTGGACTGGAGAAGAACCTAGATTCTAGACAGGAGAGTGTGGCGAGTAAGACTTCCTGGATTCAAATTCTACCTCTGGCTGGGCCTGTAATCCCAGCAATTTGGGAGACTAAGGCGGGCAGATGACTTGAGATCAGGAGTTCGAGACCAGCCTGGCCAACATGGTGAAACCCCATCTCTACTGAAAATACAAAAATTAGCCAGGCGTGGGGCACCTGCAATCCCAGCTACTCAGGAGGCTGAGGCCAGAAAATCACTTGAAATCAGGAGACGGAGGTTGCAGTGAGCTGAGCACTGCTGCACTCCAGCCTGGATGACAGAGCAAGACTCCATCTCAAAAAAACAAAACAAAACAAAACAAAACAAAAAGGCAAATCCTGCCTCTGCCACTTCCTTGCTGTGTGACCTTAGGCAGGTAATTTAACCTCTCTGTGCTTCAGATGCCTCATCTGCAAAGGGACACTATCTTAGTCCCTTTGTACTTACTTCTATGCCAGAGTACCTGAAACCGAGTAAATTTGTAAAGAAGACAAATTTACTTTCTTGCAGTTCTGCAGGCTGGGAAGTCCCAGATGCCAGTGCCTTGATCTTGGACATCCCAGCCTCTAGAACTATGAGAAATAAATTTCTGTTCTTCTTTTTTTTTTTTTTTTTTTAAGACAGAGACTCACTCTGTCGCCCAGGCTAGAGTGCAGCAGCACGATCTCAGCTCACTGCAACCTCCACCTCCCGAGTTCAAGAGATCCTCCTGTCTCAGCCTCCCGAGTAGCTGGGATTACAGGCGCCCACCACCATGCCTGGCTAACTTTCGTATTTTTAGTAGAAACGGGGTTTCACCATGTTGGCCAGACTGTTCTCAAGCTCCTGACCTCAAGTGATCTGCCTGCCTTGGCCTCCCAAAGTGTTGGGATTACAGGCATGAGTCAGCACGCCCGGCCAAATTTCTGTCTTTTATAAATTACCCAACCTCAGAGATTCTGTTATAGCAGCACCAACATACTAAGACAGGGGCTAATAGGACCTAATTCACAAGGGTTGTGAAAATTAAATGAGTTAAATTATTAATATATAAGTTACCTAGACTACTAGCTAGCACATAGTAAATGTTTACTGAATGTTAGCTATTATTTGATAACCCATCTCTGAACCAGCTCTGAGCCTAACTTAGCATTTCTAGGTTTGCAGTTCAGCCACTGACATTTCCCCAACATGGCACAAGTCCATCCTGCTCCTCCCCCTGCCTCTCAGGCATCTTTCTTTTTATTTTATTTATTTATTTTAATTTTATTTATTTATTTATTTTGAGATGGAGTCTCACTCTGTCACCCAGGCTGGAATGCAGTGAGGGGGTTCTGTGTTCACTGCAACCTCCACCTCCTGGGTTCAAGCAGTTCTCTTGCCTCAGCCTCCTGAGTAGCTGGGATTACAGGGGTGTGCCACCGCGCCCAGCGAATTTTTTTATTTTTAGTAGCGACAGAGTTCTGCCATGTTGATCCGGCTGGTCCTGAACTCCTGACCTCAGGTGATCCACCCTCCTTGGCCTCCCAAAGTGCTGGGATTACAGGCGTGAGCCACCGCGCCTGACCTTTTATTTTTTATTTTTTGTTTTATGTTTTTTGTTTTTGTTTGTTTGTTTGAGACAAAGTCTCACTCTGTTGCCCAGGCTGGAGTGCAGTGGCGCGATCTGGGCTCACTGCAACCTCCACCTCCTGGGTTCAAGTGATTCTCCCATCTCAGCCTCTCGAGTAGCTGGGATTACAGGCACACACCACCGTGCCTGGCTAATTTTTGTATTTTTATTAGAGATGGGGTTTCACGGTGTTGACCAGGCTGGCCTTGAACTCCTGATCTCAGGTGACCCTCTCACCTTGACCTCCCAAAGTGCTGGGATTACAGGCCTGAGCCACCGCAGCCAGTCCCAGGCATCTTTCAAAATACCTTTCCTTCTAACATCCCCAACTTTTAACTTCAATCCATCACAAAAGACCGTCCATCTCTGCTTCTCAAGATCTGGGGACTTTTCCACTTTTGTCCACTGCAATGTCACTACCTACCTTCTGCCACCTTCATCTCTCACCTCCACACTGTCTCCCCTTTTCTATCCTGGCACCCCAAAAATCCATTTCCTTATGGCAGCCAAATAAACAAATCTAAGCCTAAGAAAGGAGTCTTAGGATGCCAGGCTGGTCACACCTCTCTCCTGCTCATAAACCTGTTATGGCTCCCTAGTACTCACAGACAGTCTGAACTCTTTAGCCAACAGGCAACAGTCTATGTGCCTCAGTTTCCTCATCTATACAAGAATAGCATTGGGGGTCACAGGGTTATCAGATGGAGGGCTGGGAGCATTGGGAAGAAGTGGAATCAATAAGAGGAAGCTCAGCAATGGGTGGGGTTGGGCTAACACATTCGTTCCTCCTGCAGCCTCCCTGCCCCTGCTCATGGACTCTGTCATCCAGGCCCTGGCTGAGCTGGAGCAGAAGGTGCCTGCTGCCAATGCCAGCCACACAGCTTCTGCGTGGCTGCTGTCAGCCTCAAACTCTGGCCCCCACAATCGCCTCTACCACTTCCTGCTGGGGGTGCAGAGCCTCGATGCTGCAGAGTTGGATCCCTACCCACTGAGCCCAGAGCTGCAAGGCCTGATCAAGGAGGTGGCCCAACATGACGTACGAGAAGGGCGGGAATACGGGGTGGTGCTGGCACCCGATGGCTCGACTGTGGCTGTGGAGCCTCTGCTGGCAGGGCTGGAGGCAGGGCTGCAAGGGCGCAAGGTCATAAACTTGCCATTGGACAGCACAGCTACCTCTCGGGAGGCTGGAGTCACCTTTCCAGATGTTGTGGCCATTGCTCCAGATGTAATAGCCACCTCCTCCCCAGGACTCAGGGATGCCTCTCCAGATGTCACCACTGCAGATATTGGAGCCAACTCTCCAGATGCTACAACAGGTTGTCCAGATGTCCAAGCTTCCTTGCCAGATGCCAAAGCCAAGACCCCCCCGACCATGGTGGACAGCCTCCTGGCAGTCACTCTGGCTGGAAACCTGGGCCTGACCTTCCTCCAGGGTCCCCAGACCCAGAGCCATCCGGACCTGGGAACTGAGGGCTGCTGGGACCAGCTCTCTGCCCCTCGGACCTTTACTCTCCTGGACCCCAAGGCATCTCTGTTAACCACGGCCTTCCTCAATGGTGCCCTGGATGGGGTCATCCTTGGAGACTACCTGAGCCGGACTCCTGAGCCCCGACCATCCCTCAGCCACTTGCTGAGCCAGTACTATGGGGCGGGGGTGGCCAGAGACCCAGGGTTCCGCAGCAACTTCCGACGGCAGAATGGGGCTGCTCTGACTTCAGCCTCCATCCTAGCCCAGCAGGTGTGGGGAACCCTTGTCCTTCTACAGAGGCTGGAGCCGGTACACTCCCAGCTTCGGTGCATGAGCCAAGAACAGCTGGCCCAGGTGGCCGCCAATGCTACCAAGGAGTTCACTGAGGCCTTCCTGGGTAAGGAGGTTCCCCACACCCTGTGATCCTTCCCATTACAGATACAGACGCCCCCAACTCCATATGTTCAGGGAAGTTGAGGACTAGGAGAAACCAGAGGTGGCAATAAGGGATCTGGTCGGGGGTGGGTGGGACAGCTGCACAGGTGAGGAAATGCCGGAGTTGGGCCTTGAGGGATGAATAGGAGTGTTCATCTGATTTTGTTTTGTTTCATTTTATTTATTTGCATTAATTTATGGGGTACGAGTGTAACCTTGTTACTCGCATAGATTGCATAGTGGTCAAGTCTAGGCTTTTAGGGTACCCCCCACTCCAATAACATACATCGACCCATTAAGCAATCTGTCAGCATCTTCCCTCCTCTCTCCCCCTCACCCTTCTGAATCTCCACTGTCTATCTTTCCACACACTACATCCATGCATACACATTATTTAGCTCCCATTTATAAGTGAGAACTTATGGTATTTGTCTCTCTGTGTTTGACTCGTTTCACTTGAGATAATGACCTCCAGTTCCATCCATGTTGCTGCAGAAGATATTATTTCCTTTTTTTTTTTTTTTTTTGAGGCTATCTCTGTCCCCCAGGCTGGAGAGTGCAGTGGCACGATCTCAGCTCACTGCAACCTCCGCCTCCTGGGTTCAAGCAATTCTCCTGCCTCAGTTTCCTGAGTAGCTGGGACTACAGGCATGTGCCACCATGTCTGGGTAATTTTTTGTATTTTTAGTAGAGACGGAGTTTCACCATTTTATCAGGATTGTCTCCATCTCCTGACCTCATGATTCACCCTCGTTCTCCCAAAGTGCTAGTATTATGGGCGTGAGCCACCGTGTCCGGCTGACATTATTTCATTTTTTATGGATAAGTAGTATTCCATTTCCTGCCGACCACTATGGACAGCCTCCTGGCAATCATCCTGGCTGGAAACCTGGACCTGACCTTCATCTAGGGCTCTCAGACCCAGAGCCATCCAAGTCTGTGATATATATCATATTTTCTTTATCCAATTCTCTGTTGATGGACACTTAAGTTAATTCCCTACCTTTGCTATTGTGAATAGTGTCCTAATCAACATGTGAATGCAGGTATCTTTTTAATATAATGATTTATTTTCCTTTGGGCAGATATCCAGTAGTGGGATTTCTGGATTGAATGATAGTTCCAATTTATTATTATTATTATTATTATTATTATTTTAGACAGAGCTTCACTCTTGTCTCCCAGGCTGGAGTGCAATGGCACGATCTCGGCTCACTGCAACCTCCGCCTCCTGGGTTCAAGTGTTTCTCCTGCCTCAGCCTCCTAAGTAACTGGGATTACAGGTGCCTGCCACCACGCCCAGCTACTTTTTGTATTTTTAGTAGAGAGAGCTTCACCATGTCGGCCCAGGCTGATCTCAAACTCCTAACCTCAGGTGATCCACCCACCTCAGCCTCCCAAAGTGCTGGGGTTACAGGTGTAAGCCATCACCCGGCTTTTCTGTCTTTGTAATAATAGCTATTATGATTAGAGTAAGATGATATGTCTTTGTGGTTTTAATTTGCATTTCTCTGATGATTGGTGATGTTGAGCATGTTTTCCTTTGCCTATTGGCCATGTGTATATCTTCTTTTGAAAAATATCTATCAATGTCCTTTGCCCACTTTTTAGTGGGTTTTTCTTTCTTTCTTTCTTTCTTTCTTTTTTTCTTGAGTTGTTTGAGTTCCTCGTAAATTCTGGGTATTAGTCGCCTACCAAGTGCATAGTTTGCAAATATTTTCTTTCATTCTGAAAGTTGACTGTTCATTCTATTGATTATGTCTTTGGTGTGCAGAAGCTTTTTGGTTTAATTAAGTCCTGTTTGTCTATTTTTGTTTCTTTTGCCTGTGCTTTTGAGGTCTTAGTCATGGATTCTCTGCCTAGCCCAACGTTCAGAAATGTTTTCCTTAGGTTTTCTTCT